GCCGAGGCGCCCCTTCCTTCCCTGGAAGCCGAGCGGCTGCGCTCGCGTCCGCCTTCGCCGCCGCCTCGCAGTATTGCAATATAGGGGAGAAGCAGGTAAGGGGGCGGCCGGGGAGCCCGGGCCGGGCGCGGGGCCGACGAGGGGCCGGGGCTGTTTCCTTTGGCTTCTTTCCCTTGACCGTCCCAAATTGCAAGTAAACAATACGTCGCCTTTAGATAATGCGCGAGTCTGAAACTACCGAGGCCGGCCTGCGAGCTAGCGCGGAGGGCAGCCCCGGGCCGCCAGCTTTGTAGCGGTTCCTGCTTACAAAAGGGTTCTTGGAGACCCGGCTGGTGGGGACCCTGGAGGGGGTGGGGGACATTTCCAGTTCCTAAGGGAGAGGCAGGGGCTACTTAGAGCAGGATTTTAGTGTGCGAAGTAGTGAGTGCGGGGTGGGGGACTAATCACGACCCCCCCCCCCATAGCAGTATTTTTGAAATAGTGGCGGAAAGGATCTTAGTAACCACGGTTCGGTATTCTGGTTCTTTAAAAAAAAATTCCTCTTGGCTTGTACGTCTTTTGTTCCAATCCAGGAGAAACCCGGTGAATCACCTAATTAAAATCAAGACATGAATTAAGCATCCATTTTTGTACTACAAATTGCCAGCGCTACGTTTGTCCCTCCCTTGGTCTCCATTAAAAAACACCAGAGACGTTGTGGAAGGGGGCAGATTTTGCCTCTAGCTGCCACTTCTGCTTTCTATTTCACTGACTATCCCAGGACCTAAATTGCTTGGCTATGTAATTACTAGAGTATAAGCCTATTTAACTTAAAAGCTTTTTTTTTTTTCTTTCTTTCTTTTTTCTTCTTTTTTTTTTTTTTTTCCAACTCTAAATGAAACTTGATGAGGGCCCGTCCTTAGTTATCAGGGGAGTCAGTTTCTGGTCAGTCCTCTTGATTCATCTCTTTTAGATTTAATCAGCATTAAGGTATTGCTTGTCCTTAAGAGCTTTAGCTAATGGGGTTACTGGATGCTTTTCTCAGTGTAATGTTTCCTTTTCAAAAAAATATACATATATATTTACCTCTCACCAAAGATGGGGGCTGGGGGCGGGGGACCAGCTAGGAATCTCCTCCCTCCCTCTCCCCTTTTAAAAAGGAATTCGGAGCGATTAAAACGTGGGAGGGGGGGGACAGTTTAAAGACCGAGGCAGGAAATGCAGATTCATTTGGGTTAGGGCTGAAATTGTAACAAAAAGCAATTCCTCGAGTAAATGCATCAGATAAATCAATTTACATAAAGGTATGATGCATTCGGATAAATGCAATGCTAATGGGTTTTAGAGTGGTCCTGTTTCCAAAGTCTCAGGGTTTTGTTACAGCTTAATTGGTGCAGTTCTTATTCTGGTTTATTGTGCGGTCACTGGACACACGTTCCGGGACTCTTTCGGAGGAAATGTGTTTAAAATCAGCCTATTTAAGGAACCCGAGTCCTTGCTTCGTTCCCTCACCCTCGTTCTTTTGCAGCAGCCAAGTTGGGCCGGGGACAGGCAAAGTTCGCCCTCTCCCTTCTGAGGTATCAGCTGAATGTCTTCAGCAGATAGCCGGGAGCCTGGGGGAGCCCACTCTCTCGGCTTACCGAGGACAAAGACAAAACAGGCTGCTTAATTGGCAGTAAATAACTTGATCTTTTTATAGAATAAGTGACTGGAGGAACACTAGGACTTTATTGGACTCAGAATTGGAGGCAACAAATTAATCGGTTTAGGCTAAGCTTTATAAATTGATTCCTATATTATCCCCAGTTGCTTCTCTTGTGGCATTCATTAGAAAGAGTGGGGAGTGTTTAGAAGCAGTTTTTGGTGACCGCAGGCAGGACTGGCTCGAGTTTAACTTGTGCATCTCCTAATGGTGCCTTCTCGCATTTTATCTGTAGCCTTCTCCACCCCAGCCTCCTCTGGAGTAACAGAGCTTTAGCATTGAAATTGCTGATCAAGGGCAGATTAGTGAGACCAAAGTGGAGAGTGTTTGTGTAGGAAGTTAACAGGCATCCTAAAGTTCAATGATCTATTATGCCCGCCTGTGTCCTGAAAACCCAGAGAAAACACTCATTGATCTTCAAAATGAAATGAGATTTGGAACAATAATGGGAGATGGCGGTCAGCACAATGGCGTGTGAAAGGTGCTGTTTTAAAATACGAAAAACCAGTTTCGCAACTTTACACACCGCACCCCCACCTCCCGCCACCTTGCCTCCCCTCCCACCACTACTAGCACCAGCACCACCCGCTCTGCGTGTCCCCTGGCCGGTCCCTCCTCCCACCTTCCCTTTCCGAAAACCCAACTATTTCCAACTTGTGAACTGCAGCTGCACTTCGCGGGGCACGGCTCGGGAGGGAGCGTGGCCGGCCGGGCCGCCTCCTGCCCACTTCTCTCGGCGGGCTCCGGGGAGGGGCCGGGCGCGGCGGTGGGTGGGTTTGACCCTCATTTGCTGGAGGCGGCGGGGAGGGGGCGGGGGAGGGGCGGGGAGCGGGCGCCGCGAGGGGAGGAGCGCGCCGCCCAGCCTCGCTCTGGCTCGCGGAGTTTGACAGTCCCCGAGCTGAAATTGTCAGCGGCTGCGAGCGCTGGAAAGTTGAGAGGAGCTCGTGGCCCCAGAACAAAGCTTGAGAAAAGTAAACAGGCGGCTGCTGCCGGCGAGCCTCCCTCCTTCTCCCTCCAGCTCGGCCTGCTTCCCGCTCTTGCGGGGCTGCTTCCTTCCCGCAGCCCTGCAGCCCCGAAGCCCCGAGGGGAGGAGGGGATGGGCTCGCGCGCTGTCTGGCCGGCAATCACTAACTTTTGTATCGCTCCTGTTTTGTCTTTCTTTCCCTGTCCCCTTCCCGCCCTGTGCAGACCATGGTGAATCCGGGCAGCAGTTCCCAGCCGCCCCCTGTGACGGCCGGCTCCCTCTCCTGGAAGCGGTGCGCAGGCTGCGGGGGCAAGATTGCAGACCGCTTTCTGCTCTATGCCATGGACAGCTACTGGCACAGCCGGTGCCTCAAGTGTTCCTGCTGCCAGGCGCAGCTGGGTGACATCGGCACGTCCTGTTACACCAAGAGCGGCATGATCCTTTGCAGAAACGACTACATTAGGTGAGTCTGCATCTCTTTCCCCGAGATGGGTGAGCGGGGCAATGGCAAAGCCAAAGGTTACTAAAGGGCTTTGGAGGAAAGGAGCAGGTACCTGGAGTAGGTACCTTGGGGCATTCAGGATACCTTGCACCTCAGAAACCTGGTGAGTGAAATTTAAGGGGTTCAGGAAGCATGCATTAGTCTTCCAGAGTGCGGTGTCAGATTAAAGATGGTGCCATGCTAGCTGCAAACGCCCTTCTGTGGGAGCAGGCGGCTGGGCGTATAATGGTTGAGTAACCTGGACCCAGATTCTTAGTGGTCTGCCTAAACTGGGCTTAAGATTCAAAATAAGCATTTGAAGTGAGAGTTAAACTGCTCTGATGGTGGGGAACAGAGAAACTCAGACAAAAGATTGACTTAAAAATAAAAATGTAGTTAGTGAGAAATTATTTGTCTGTAGTGGTGGCTAATTATGATATTTACATAAGCACCTATAAACTTTTTTGAGTGGAAAGCTGTGACTCATTCTTCATGCTCCTTGTGAAAAATGCTGATTACCCATCAGTTTAAAGACTTGTGATTCTTTTTATAGCAAAAACTAAGAAATAGAAACCTAGTGGTAGTGTTTCTTCCTACTGTTAACTCCTGAGGCTTGGTATGCACAGTGTTAGTGTGTGGTTTCTGATGTCGATTTTGCAGGTTTTTCATTTGAAGAATGTTCAGGTTTTGGGCTTTTTGATTGTTGTCATTGTTTGTAGCACTCCCCTTGATCCCCAAAAGAGATTTAACCAAACAGGTTATAGATTATACTAATCTTGCATTTTAAAGTATTGTATAGGAACATTCGAATGTCTGTGTAAGCAAGTAGTCTTTTCTAACAAGTTTCAGTGCAATTAATGGAAAGAATTCAGGAGGTCAGGTGCCTATAGGATCTTTTCAGGTGAACTCAAGCTACTTAAACTCATTAATTTGAAAGGAGGCATTTGAAGGATTACACATTTAATTTGAGTAAATGGTTTGATAGACTGATGCACATGAATGCTTCTAGGAGGTGTTCTGTTTCAACATCCAGTAATTAAAAAAAAAGAAAAAACCCACACGCACACTGCTGGTGCTAGAGCACGGCACACTTTCAGGAATTTCATTGTGTTTGAATTTCTTCTTTAAACCTTTTTCTCCACGTAGGGATTAATAGAAAATTTTACTCTTTCTTCAGTAGGTGAATGAGTGGATGACATATTTTGTTCAAAGTTTAGCTCCATTGTAGTACATCTCACGCTGTGGCTGATACTGCAAAGATCCTAGTGCAGTTCAGAGACGAGTATGGGTATGTTTACCCCAGCAATGTCAGTAGTGCCAAGTGGGGTAAATGACCTTTGCTTATTCTGATAACGCAGCCTTCGCGCATCCTCAGTCAGTCAAGTAAAAGAAATAGAGGAATGGAGAGAGCTTTTAATTTTAAATTAAGATGGCTGCATTAATTTCACTAAGTGTTCTTACAGAAGTAAATGTTGGAAAATCAGCAAGCACATGGGTGTAATGCTTTCTGGTCCTTCTTCCGAGCAATGCCATGAACTTTGACAGTATTGTAATTAGAGAGCAAATCTGTGGTAAGAAAGGAAGGTGGGTTGAAGTGGAAGAATTGAAAGAGCAGTTAAAATTGGGCAAATGGTAGTTTGACTTCTTCTGATTTCCAAAAAAGAAAAAGGAAGGAAACCTTCACTTCTGACTACTACTAATGGAAAAGAAGATGAGTCCACTTGCATTCCCGCAGGACAAGTTTGGGCAACTGGCTTGCAGGGAATCTCATCATTCCTTTTCCCTATTCCTGGGGCCAGAGTATAAATAAATGCCCATTGGGTGCATGGAAGAAAGGAGGATGTGTGCTTAGCCTGAGCCTTAATGAATCCTCAGTTCAGACCACGTTCTGGCTTTTTGACTCTGAGTTTGGGAACTGGAGTTAGGCTAGTTCTTGAACTAGATGCCAACCTGAGAACTTGGACCTGACCTGGAGGTGAGGTCTCCAGCAGTACCAAATGGGCTGTCCAACTTCACTTCGCTTTGGCTTCCAGCCGCTGAGGCCCCCGGCCCACTAGGGCCTCCTGCCCACAGGGTGGCCATCAAGGTGCCCACAGGATGGGAAAGTGGAGGAGGTGCAGGTGGGGTCCTTTTCCCCTGAGCTACCCCTCCCTAAACTCCCCAAGTCTACTTGTTGGCAGAGCTTTCAATTCCAGTAGACAGCCCCAGAGTGGAGTAATCCGCTCCATGGCCACCAGGTGAGGAGGACCCTCTCGGCCTGGCTGGGACCTCAGTGATTTATTAAGGGGCTTTTAAACTGTCTTGACCTAGGGGTTGTGTGTACAGAGCAACCAAGACTGGCTAAAAAGCTGCTGGAGAGCAGGGTGAGGCTTCTGTCCGGAGTGTGGGTAGGAAGGGAAGGGGATGGTTTCCTCAGTGCCCTCCCCCTTCTGGGCCCAGTGTCGATTGGGCAGAGCTGGGCTTCTGCCGCCTCTCCCTCCTAGATTTCAGATAAAGCCGCTGCCATGCTGCAGCGAATCCGCACAATTAAAAGCTTTAATTAGTAGCTCCTCCATTTTCTTAGTTCTGATGGGCTTTATCTAATGAGATCTGGTCTCTGGCTTAGATCTGCTCCGAATGATGTGTCCGCAATGAATGAGAGCAGCGTCGCAAACAAAACATTTAATTAACAAAATTGGCCTCTCAGAGAGGGGGGGAAGGTTGAAAAGGGGGGTGCGGAGAGGAGGGGGAGGGTGAATCTTAAAGGGGCTACTGCCTGCTCCTGGCCCCCTTCCCTTACAAAAGTCCACGAGCTTTGGAACTTGCCCTCACCCACGACTCCGGACCCCTCAGCTCCAGCCCAGCGCTACCCAGTGGCTTCCGAAACTCGGGATCCCCTTCCTCCAACCTTCTTTCCCCCACCCCCACTTGGGGCCCAGAGATCCATTCGGAAAGTCTAGCCAAGGAGGAAGTTGGGAACCACCTCTGGGCGGGTGGGGCTGCAGGTCGGGAGGGCGAGGTGAGGCTGTGCGAGCTGGGTGGCCAGCAGCGTGGCCAGCAGCGCGGAGCCCTTCTGTGCCGCCGCCCTAGCCCGCAGCGGGACGCCCAGGCCCGCGGCATCGGCCCGCGAGGGGGCGAGCGCAGGGCGGCAGCCCGAACAGTCCTCGTTCCCCCGCTCCGCTCGGGGTGGTTCACGTGGCGCCCGCAGCCGCAGTAAGCTTGGCGCGGCTGGGGTGGGCCCAGGGTGGGGGGTCCGTGGTGGCAGAGGCAGAGGGTGTGTTTGGGCAGGGGAGTAGCGTTAGGAATGGAGGCGCCGCCAGGCAGTGAGTTCATTTCCCTGGTAATCAACAGCAAGCTGCTATATTCAGAGAATGCTGTCCCTTTAATTGAACAGGCTAGGTAATTAAATGGCACTTTTCCAATAGGACGTGCTAGGTAAATCTAATAGTTGGTTATTTAATATCACTTTGAAGTCTGCCCACTCAAGCACAATGACAGCACGGGAGCATGTGAACTATTAGCTAGGAAAAAAAAAAAACCCAGGATCTCAAAAATTAATTAAATCGCATGCAATTTAGGGGGAACGTTTATCTTGATTTGTCATAACAGAATTAATTCAAGGCCTCCAATTCACTTGGGGGCAGATCTGTTACTCTGAATTAACCAAGCGTAATTTGGCTGATTTTTTTTTTTCCCTCCCTCCCCTCTCTAATGCAGCAGTTGCGATTCTGCACGGCCCCCCTCTTAAGTATCAATAGCTTCTGGTGCTTTTAAGGTGCTTGGTCTCTAGTTATTCCGTACCTTTAATGGACTTGGCTCCAGGCATAATTTCTGGGTTGCATTTCTTTGTTACATTTAATATAGCTGGTGCAGAATTTAGATTAAATATAGGATCCTGCTGGAAAACCAATTGCTTCTGGATCAGTAGCTATGGATGTGCATTTTTCTCCTCAGATAGGCTGCTGATATTTACTTGCAGGTACAAATGTATACCTTTCAGCCGCACTCCTAAAATGCGCCTCTCCTTGCCTGAAAGCAGTTAGAAAACACAGCCAGCTAATGCTCTATGTTGCATGTATTTTGCTTGAAGTAATAATATAGTTCAAAATAAGCCCACCTATTGGCCATAGAAGTTACTGAAAGATGCTAAGCGTTGATACTAAGCTAAAAATATGGCTCGTTCTCTCCCTCACACTCTTAATGTCAGCAAGGAGAGCTGGAGTCCAGCCGGCAATCAGGACTAGCACCATGTAGTATTCTTCAAATTGGAGCAAAGCACCTTTAAAATGCAGAGGTTTGGGGCGGGGGTGTTCTTCCCATCTTTCCCTTTTCCCCCCATATAAGGAACCTCTTGATGTTTGTGATTGATTGCATTGCCCAAATGCTGAAATATTAACGACCTTCTTGGACTGAGGACCCAAAGAAAGGAAACTGAAACCGATTCTGTCATCACAATTAAAGACTCCCCTGGCTTTAATTAGCCTGACCTGGGGTATATCTCCCCGTTGCTTGAGTTAAAGAGAAAAGAGCCCATTATAGTCCAGTCTGAGACCGATAGCTACTTAATTGAGGACCTAAAGCCTCGAGCCTTTTAAATCAAACACTGTCCTGGACAGTCCCCCTGGTTAGATAATTAACTCTCTAGCGCACAGAAAGGAGAAAAAACAACTTTTAAGGAAAAGGGTAGAATTCTAATGGGCCCTGCTCCTCTCTAGTAAAAGGGGATTAGAATCTGTATAGACGTGAAAGTCGGTCTGCTCTGAGGCAGCCTCAAAGCTGCACACACAGAAAGATCTTAAACTCCATTAACATGTTGTTCAGGAGCACCTCAGTCGCGGGTAGATCTTAGTCATTTTCAAAGTTCGTAACTGTAATTTTTGACACTTTAGGAATCCCTCCATTTTGTGACTGATGGTTCTTTGACAGGTTATGAAAGCAGCTCTAGAGAAAATAAATATATGTGAAAAGCTTTTGGATTACATGTGACTGCCCTGATTATTAAAATACACTTAGATGTTGAAGACGTACAACTGACTTTACTCAGGGTGAATTGTTAAATAAGTGAACACTTAGGCTGGGTAATCAGATCAGTACTGTGAAAGGGTATTTTTGAGATGGAGTGTCACTGTGTACCTGTTGGTAGTGGCAGCCATAATTATAGACTCCAGTCCATTAAAATACTTCTGGGTTGCTGTGAGAGGATATTTGGTCCTTACCTTGGGTAGGATTCCGCCCCCCTCCCAACTTTCTCCCCCGCTTGGCCTCAGCATGTATTGGGCCACATCGACAGGTTTTGAGCTTTATTTTTACCCAAATCCTTTGAATTTGGTATCTGTCATGGCAATGGCAATAGGCCTGATGTTGTACACAAGCCTTGTCCCCATGGCCGACACTAATCCTCTGGCTGCCCTGCCCTTCTGAGAACTCCCGCGCAGTAGCCTGCAGTGCTGCAGGTGAGACACCAGGAGGTCCTCATCAATGTTTTCCAAGTGGTCCAGTGTTAGGAGGTAGCAGCCCACCGCCGGCCGCAGGCCCCCACACCGTGTGGTCCTGTGGCTAGAGGTCCCGGCAGTGTATTATTTCAGCTTTCTTTCTGTAACTGTTCTGATTCTGCAAGAACGTGTCAATGTGTCGTGGATCTCAGACTAATTAGTTTTGAAATGGAGTTTTGATTGAACTCTTCAAATCGATGCTGCTGCAAAATTTGTTTCTCCGGCTTCCTATTAAAAGCCATCTTAAGGGGCAGTTTTACTACTCTCCCTGTCGTTCAGTCGATACATTTAATAACAACTTACAGGCTATTTTCAATAAAGTGGCGACAGCAAATTAGTAGTTTGAACATGACAAGCCTCTTCTGCAAGACCAGATTCTGAAAACTCAAAGCAATTATTTTTATATAGAGGCATGCCACAATCATTCAGATTATGGGGTGTTCTATAGGAACACATCTCTTGATTTGACACAAACTACATTTTATAACTTTATTTGGACAAGGAGGAAATGCAAATATTACTATTTATTGTGACACCAACATGTTAATTTCTAAGTCCTATTACTTTGTTTTTCTTTGTTGACAAGTGCCTCTGACCCCCGCATGTCCTGCTGCCACTTTTCAATGTAAAATCATTTGGGTCTGTTTAAAATATATTTGTGAGTATCAAGGAGGGAAGCCCAAAGGCAAATAAAGCTTCCCAGCGTAGTCCACAGATCCCGTAAGAAGCCAGAGTTGGGGAGGCATTAAAATGTTTTGTCGGGCCTGTAGAAGGGTGTGAGGAATTATGTGTGTGTTTTTCTTCAGCGCACCACACTTGCTGAGCTTTCCCCTCCTCGGCAGCCTTTTCCTTCCCCCCTCCTCCCCCCACGGCAGATGTTGTGGTCTCATTTGATTGCATAGGAAAACTGCAGTGATACAGCAAACACCCAGAGAGATATGATGACAAATGGGTCCAGATCCCGGTAAATTACTTTCTGCTCAAATCGAAATTTCATTCAGTTTGTTGCTAGCAGAGATGAAGTAATCTAAATTGTGGACTCAGGAGCAGATAGAGGGAAGTTGGAGCAAGCATTTCATTATCAAGAGAGAGAGAAGGTTAGGATGAAAGAGATGAGCAGAGGCAAATCTTAAGTGTTGACACCATGATTGAAAAGGTTAACCCATACACATTATATATCAACCTGGGTAGCAGAGAGTTTCTAATGGAAAGTCTGCACTGATGGAGGTTTACGGGAGTTTCAATACACTGAGCATGATGTCTTCTTAGATATACAATCAAATCCTCTTAACCCTTTTGATGACTCATATCTCAAGATATGATTAAAGTACAAAAGAGTTCTTCATATAATTTCAAGGACACAGTGCATTTAAACTCTAGTCATGAATTGTATCTTTTCTTTATGACGAACTCAGTAATCTGATAAAATGTGTGTAGAACAGAATTGTTTTGTATTTGCTAGAGGTGTAAGTCAATATTTTGATTAAATCTGGGGTGCCCTTTCCCTCTGCGGTAGGCAGAAGACTGTGGTACCCCAAAAGGATTTTTTCTTAGATGATGTAAACCAGTCAGAGAAATGGAGACTTGTGCCTCATGTCAAATACATATTCCAGAGGAAAGACACCGGCCTGGGTGTTTTCTTTCTTTTTCTTTGGTGTGGGATTATTCATTGGTGTCGACCATTGTTCTTTGTTTCAGGTTATTTGGGAATAGCGGTGCTTGCAGTGCCTGTGGACAGTCGATTCCGGCGAGCGAGCTCGTAATGAGGGCGCAAGGCAATGTGTACCATCTTAAGGTAGCGCTTGCACCTGTCCTTTTAAAGAGCCCCTCCCCTTTCTTAGAGGGGACAAACCCGAAACATCTCTCTGTAGCATGTAACTGTTTCCTTAAGCCGCAGACACTAAGGGGTGTTGGGCGTTGTCGCGTGGCTGGGATCGTTTTCCCCCATGCCGTGTAAGCACCTGTGTGTCCCTTTTATACCCCTTACCCTGATCCACTTTATTGGGTTAGGGCTTACTATTTTATTTTTCTGGATTCATGTTAAAGGAAAACGTGAAGCTCTCTACCTGACAGATACTCAAGTAAAAACCATTAGAAACTTGTGACCCAAAGGAGACTTCATTTGTACTTGTTTTCAGCGAGTTGTTTTCCTTTTCAGTGTTTCACATGCTCTACCTGCCGGAATCGCCTGGTCCCGGGAGATCGGTTTCACTACGTCAATGGCAGTTTATTCTGTGAACATGATAGACCTACAGCTCTCATCAATGGCCATTTGAATTCACTTCAGAGCAATCCACTACTGCCAGACCAGAAGGTGAATACCCAGCAGTTACTAATAAGCCTTATTAGAGCGAGTTGGAAGGGCCAGCCTTTTAACCTAGCCAGGGTATTCTTAGGTGGTTGTGTTTCTGTTTGTGCCTTTGTAGACTACCGCTCACTCGTATGCAAGAGTGTTGAGAAGTAGTGTAGCTGATTGAGTTGTGACTTTTGTGCAGGTAAAAATAAAACAAGACTCCTGACCTGGTTAGAGCTGTAACTCTACCCATGTTGAGCCGAGATCATCGCATGCAAAATCAAAATATCAAGAATTTTCTTATAAACAGTTATTTATCCTATGTGGGAACTTTGAGAAATATAGTGCAGTAGTTATTATGGAAAGAAAATGAGAGCGTTTATGGTAGGAAAAAAGAGTAAATCTCTGTCACGAAAGAATGATTTTCACATTAGTAATAGCAATCTGGACACCTGCCTTCCAAACTCAATTGACAGTGCATTTATTTTTAGAAGAGCAATTTTATGAAACAATCTATAATTCCAGAGGAGAGCATTTTTGTTGATTGGTAGCTCTGTAAAATGTGAATAAGTTCCGACTTTTAAAACAAAGTTCTTGCTCTTGCTAGTGACAAGAGCCGCTAATGGCTCCGTTACAGATTATGTATCTTGATTCTTGATTCACAACTTGAGAGTTCTTAAGAGTTCGAGTTAGAAATGAGAAAATTACACCAGTATACAAATCGTGTAATATTAGGAGGCTCTTGAGAGGGAAAATTGGTGATCAACAGTTGTCCAGCACCCCCAGTACTGGATAGTTTTAGATCTATTTTAATCTCCTTAATAAGTCCTATAGCTATGCAAGTGAGTGCATTTTGATAACTGCTGTGCCTAATTTGTAACAATTACTGTCAACCTTCAGTTAAGAGACTGTTCATTCCACACTGGCCCAGAAAAGAGTGAAATGCATGACTCGTGTGCATAATTTTATTCACATCATATTTCATACTGATTATGTATTGATGACATTGATTCATTTACTCTTTACAGCGCCACTTGCATGGATATTAAATCTTATTGACCACAGATGAATTTTAATTTCAGATTGGTGATAGATTTTTCCATCAGCTCTGATAGTATGTTTGACTTTTTCATCATTAACCCAGGCAATCACACAGCACTGAGTTATTGCATTGAAACAAAAAGTGCACACTTCACTTGGTAATTCTTTATGGATTTACAATAGGAACTTCATTAATGTCTGTTGTAAGGATCACAAAAAAACAACATTTATCTGCAAATAGGAATTTAGCAAGCTTCAGAAGGCTCAGGAAAAATATTAGACTCCTTTGTCTTCTGTAATGCATTTTTTTTTATTGCTATGCAGGGGGAAAAATGACATTTGAAAACTTCTTAAGCATTTAAAAATATCCTGCTGTATTTTAATACTCATATATATCCTTTTCCCTCGCTCAGGTTGATGGGGAAATTTTAAATGTATTTCTTTCTTTAGTAAGAGTTAATTACACGAAACTATGCATTTCTATTTAATTTATAATATGGGATGTCACATAGAATAACCATTTTAAGAATAAAAATCTTTAGTTTTTTTGCAGATTAACCAGTCAATTTCTGGTGATTCAAACTTCTTTCAGGAGTACCAATATATATAAATGCTTATAGATTTTTATGGTTTGGGTTTTAATGAGATGAATCGATAGTACCGAGTTGAAAACCATAAATAGGTAACACATTTGTTTTGAAATGGCATTTGGAAATAGAGGCAAGCCATTCATAGTAACACTTGGCAACAAAACCCAACAGAAGTGTTAGGGATAAAATGTTGGGCTTCTTCCCCACCAACCCTCCTTTATTAAATGTAAAGGCCTACCCCTCTGTTGTCCAAGTCATGTTTTGTCTTGTTATGGTAGTGGTTTGATACCTTTTCTCTCCTGACTTAGCAAAGTACAAAAATGATCGTTGCAGCTCCCCAACATGCATGGTGAGAGCTGAGGGGTGGAGGGAGGAGACGGAGGATGCACCGGAATACGAAGCACTGAATCCAGGCAATGGCACAGGGAGCGGGGGACTAAGTGCGGAGGCCCCTTGGAAGATAGGAGCCAGGGTTTCAGTCCTGTTTACAGAGTACATGCTGATGTAAGCTGAGAGATGTTAGGGAGGAAAACTGGAGAAACACCTATAATGTTTATGAGAGGATGTGTCAATGAGATGGTCTTCCATGGTTTTCTGTTTTCCATACACACCTCTCAGGGTGGGACCGGTGGGCTGTTCATTTTGAAACATAAAATACAATTTAGACCACAGATAAGACTCTGCTAGTGTATATTAATGTTGGAAGCCAAAGAGACAGAGACAGGTGGCCTTCAAAAATTAATGATTCTTAAAAGGCATAAGGAAATGCGACTTAAGGAACTGTTCTTGTCAGACATTGGTGAGAAGCTGTGTTTGGGGGGTGATGTTAATTAAGAACATTTCCCCGTTGGCGTAAATGTCTCACATTTCTGCCCTTAGCGCTCAGCTCACTGTGCACACGGAAACTTCACAAGGTAGTTTTTGTAAATACAGGTTTTGGGCAGGCTGAGCGGGGTCCAGAGAGATACTCATGGGAGGACAAGGGGGAAGAGTTAATGAAAACACACTTCCTGGTGGAACATGAACTGCTTAGGACCCGAAGAATGCTCGAAAATTATTCTCCCCAAACCCCATGGTATTTCCTTTTCTGAAGATGCAATGAGGAGAAATGATAGATAGCTTCATTTTATTATTTTCTGTTCTCTCATTCTCCATATTTTTGGTGGGGAAAATTGGGCATTTATTTTGACCATTTCTCTTCTAGTTGCAGAAGCAATTACATTTTTAGAGCATGATGCATAGTAAATATACTTAAGCATGCTCTGTCTTAAAAATAATGAGTATTTCTGTATCTCTTCTTTAAAGGCAGTTAATCGTATGGGAAGTATAGGCCTCCCTCCTCTGGTCCGTTTAAGTTCATTTTCCTGAAATTTGTCTCCATATTGGCGAGTGTGTAGTTCAGTTGTTCTGCATCATTGGCTTTTGTATATTTTGAGAAAAATAATTTTAAGCTTTTCCAATCATAGAATGATTACCATCTCAGATTACAAAATGACTGAAATCAGAGACCCCTGGTGTTTGGACAAGACATTAACAAAAATTGTATAGCCCATATCATTTCAAGGGGGCTTGGATAGCCTCAAGAGAATGTTCTTTTGTAGAATATTAGGAAAATCAGACATCGTTGCTGATTTTTCCCTTTGTAGATAGTTGCCTGCCCTGGAATTCTTCCTTCTAGTCAAAAGTATGATGGGGCAGTCAAGAATTTTCTGTGCTTTTCAGAGTATCTCTTTAGTCTGAGAACAATTTAGCAGGCCTTCCAGTTTCCGTATCGTTTTGCAGTTCCCACATAGTTACATAATTGGTGTTGTGTGTGTCCATCGTAGAGGACACTGATGCTCATTTATTAAATATGCTTGCTGGCTGCTGCCGCATCTTTGTTCTGGACAGACAAATTACCTTTCTCACACTGAGCTCCCACTCTGGGGAATTAAGCCTCCACCACTTTAATTAGCTTAGAAGTGGGGGGTTGCAGTTCCTAATAGACTTCAGGCTTTTAGTAAGTTCGAGAAAGGGGGAGCTGAGAACTTCCTGGGAAGCTCAAAATGTCATTTAAAAACCATAAAACCCTAATATATATTATTTCATTTTGATAATTGCAAACAGATTGTACTTGACGGCCGTGGATTGGTGTTTCTCACTTAAAATGTTGAAGTGAGACTTGTGTCGAAGTATGGTCTTTAATCTATCACAAGTCATCAACACATTGCATGAATTGATTCATGTACTGTATTTATAATGTTTATATAACATTAAGGGGCGTAACAGATAGGAAAATAGTGAAATTAATCCCTGAATATTTGAATGTATAATTTTTTGTCTGTACACACAAACAAACGCACACATACACACCCTCACCTTCTGCAGATACAGTCCAAAAGGAATGGAGGGACTTCTCAGGGGGATAGCAGGATAATAATGATACAGGACTTGCTCCGCTTTTATTAAGGGGCAGGCACTGTTGAAAGTCCTCCTCTATATATGAAGTAATCATCCCAACAGCGTCTTACTTGACATGTAAGATGAGGAAATAGACAGGCCGTTTAAGTTACATGTTGAAGCTCGTTATCTCAAAACTTCTGGGGTAAAGACTGAGATTCTGAATGTCCCCCCAAGTTAAAAAGTTCGGGATCCCACTATGAGGTAAGAGGTAACTTGGTCCTTTTGGAAGCTTGTTTTAACGGTTAAGCAGTTGGTTGAAGAACTTGACACCAGCAACTTTCCGAAGGCCCATTTCTCCTGTCGTTTCCTCTGCGAGTGGAGCTGCAGCCAGTGTTGTGCTTTGGCTCTTCACTGCTAGAGCAAGTGGCCTCCATCCAGTCCCTGTCGGAAGGTAACCTCATAAAAGAAGATTAGTGAGTGTGGAGAAGACAGAAGCATCATGTTTGAGTTTAATATCCCAAAGTTAGCATGTTAGCTAAGATGCCCGTTTTTATTTCTTGCAGGTCTGCTAAAAGGTCAGAGTAATGCAGAATGCGTGCCTTCATCTCAGATTTTGTTCATCGCAGGTGGATCCCATGTGTCTTCGGTAGACAAGTCACCTCTGTAGCTAGCACCGTGCCTGCTCCATGCCATTGCACCTTCTTTAGTCTTGACTGCCCTTCCCGCATTTATTGGTGTATTAAAATGACTGAATATGAACATTAAGGACTCCATGAACCTGGGCTAATGGGAGACTGTAGAGAAAATGAAAAAAGATCCACCGGAGGACATCTTGGGGGGGAGGGAGTTTAGGGGAGGGAAATGACTAATGAAGCTAATTAAAAGAAGCATTCAAATCTGCTTTCTACCCTCATTAACAATTAGCAGGGCACCGGCCAGAGTTTGTACCCTGTGTTTTACCTTAACAACATTCTATTTGCTCTTGTATATTTAAGTGTTGTAAGGAAATGTGTTTCAATCAAAACTGAACGTGAGATAAAGGAAAGAGATGTGGCTTTTGTGATATTCTATCACAGACACTTATTGTATCTCTGTAAAATACAATGTATGTATGCATGTAAGTGTTTTTGTCCTAATGTTGTTACTCCCTTGGCAAAGATTTAAAAAAAAACAAAAACAAAAACAAAAAAACCAGAGAGAGAAAAAAATCAGGCTCATAGCAGCTACTGTGTAGAAATTCCCCCCTACTTCTAATTTGCTGAATGAAGAAAAAAATCTTTTATTTGTGATATTTTCAGAGACATTTGCTCTAGTATGGTGTATTTAAATAATAAAAACTTAAAAGAAAAAATATTCAATGGAGTTTGGGTTTAAGCACTGCCTTTTCTCTTTATTTCAGAAAAGTTTCAGGATTTTGTTCTATAGCAAGCCTCCTTTAATTCTGAGGGGTGAGAGAGGTGGTATCCATATTTATTTAGCTATGGGCCATTGAGTTACTTTTCAGATTACCTAACTGCTATTTTTGGCAGGGTTAAAAGCAATGTTTCTAACAGTCTTTTTTTTGTAAGTTCAGAATATTCTGTGAGCAGCGCTTCCTCGTAGTTCTGTATCACAGGGACTCTTCTGTGTTTATAGGTAAGTACATGTTGGATGCTGTAGCTATTTGTTCCTCTCAGAAAGCCTTGGGTATTGGGGCCGGGGAAATGGCTCAGTAGAATAAGCACTTGCCTGGTAAGTACAGGGTCTTGAGTTCAATCCCCAGCCTTGGGTATTGATGAAAGGCCATGGCAAGCCACCTCGTCCTCGTACCAGGTCTATAGCTTTGGAAAGAAAGTGTTTCTAAGCCATACCTGTGTATAGTTTGCGGTGCCACTGTCGCAGGGCCCTGTACAGTGATCTTCCACCTCTAACGGGTAAAGCATCATTACCTGGTGACAACGTAGATGTGTGTTCTGCTGTAGAGCTTGTTTGTTTTGACTCAACACTTTCTCCTGACTCCCCTGCTCTATGTTGGGGATGATTCCGCTTCCAGTTAGTGGTGTCCTTCAGGCAGTTGTTAGTTCCAGGCAGCAGAGTCTTCTAGCAGCACCGGCTTCACCTGAGGTGGCCTGAGGAAGCGCAGAGTCCCAGATGTCAGTGGGCCTGTAGCCCGGGCTGGAAGGAGGGCCATCCAAATGCACCTGAATGCTGGAGTTTACCCCAGCAGCTCCGTGTGTCCGACCAGGTCTGAGCTGCAGCTTCTGTCATAGGCTAGTGAAACGAGGTGTGTTTACACTGATGCGTCTACTTTTCTTTTGAAAGTGTTATTTTATATTCTAGAAGAGCTCCTCAGATCTGAGAACAGGAGCAGGTCATAGGCAGAGATGTGTATATAGTTCAGCTTGTCTCAGCTCGACAGTTAGCTTCCCTTGGAGAACTTTGGTGATTGCTTCCTCTTTTCAGAGATTTCAGGCCAGGAGGAAAAATCAGTTGCTGCTCAAACTACCAGCCTCCTGCAGCAGAATTTATTTTATTTTTTATGTATTTAGAACAGGTTCTACAGGGTTGCACTACACGGATTGGACTCTTAGTGATTCTCCTATTTTTAGCCTCTTAAGTGCTGGGATTACAGGCGTGTGCCACCATGTCCAGTCTCAATCACAGTCTCAGTGTGCCCAAGGGGTGGGGCTGGCATGGCACATTGAGGATCAAACTTGGGTCCCTGTGTCTACCTAAGCAAGTGCTTTAATCTGTTGAGCCATCTGGCCAGCCCTCAGAATTTGAAGTTATTTGTTAACGTGAATCATTTTGTCAGAGATTTATAGAAAGAAAATGCAAAGAGAAAAGTAAGACAGAGAAACACATATGTAACAGTATCTTTGAGTTAGATACTTGGGGAATTTCTCCACAGTATTGATTGATCGATCTATATCTATCTATATTTTGTTTGTTTTATATTTACATGCTAAAGGATCTTGGACTCCTGGCAGGTCAAGGGGGAAATGTGTTTTTTTTTAACAAATTGCAGGCATTTTTTATATTCTTTTTGGTATAAGGACTCCTATCCCTATTTAAAAGAGTATTGCTTCTAGTAAGTAATACTGTGTGGCATTTAGAGAGGTGGAGGGCAAAGGTCGTAGACTTTAAATGAACTATTATATGGCTCTGGTTCCTCAAGCGCTCCTGCGTATTTAATAACGAGCTTCTAAAAGCATTTCTTAAGTTGCAGACCTATAAGATTACAAATGTCATTCATGTTAGTATAATCCACATGCAAGTGATGAAGCCTTCTCTTTGATGTGCTAAATTGGAGAAGGACTAATGGAGCTATGAATATACAATAGAACATATTTAAGTAGTAGTCTTGCTTTAGGTAAAATACTTCCTTGAAACCAGAGGCATTTCAAACAATAAAACCCGCTCTAATGGGGATGTTCTGTGTGGATACAAAGCTACTAAAAACACTCAGGTTTATTCTGATGTGAGCAGTGATTGTGTGCTGTTCCTCCCCCACCTCCGACGTTGCCTCACCCACCTTTTATCCATTGCATTGACGATGTTATTAGAGAGACATTCCCTGCTCTTCTGAAAGGACTTAATTTAGTATTAACCACATCGTGGGGCAAGATGGCCCACGGTCCCTGCAAGCAAGTGCAATTAAAAAAATAAAAGCAAATGTTACTGAGCTTTGTGAAGTCCTGATAAAAAATTATGTTTACGATACATACAAATGTCTCAATCATGCAAATCGTCACTCTTGCTAATGAAACGATTTTGCAAAAAGACTGTCTTCTAAAAGGAGTTGGTTGCTTTTTTACCTAACTGGTTAGATTCACAGATCCTGCAAAGCAGGATCCCGAAGGCTTTCTAAACCAAATTGTTTGCCAAAAGAAACTATTTCCAGCTCTTCATGATTTATTTAGGAATAGTTTAACATACACTGTAGCATCTTTACAAAGTGAAAAAATGGACAGAGCAAAATAAAGCCTGGGAAATTGCCATCCTCTTACTGTTAACCAAATGGAAATTCTTTTGCCTTTATTAACACTGATATTTGAAACAATCATCTAAAATGAAGCTCTTAATGACTAAATGAATAAGATTCTAATGTGCACTATTTATATAAAATATTTGTTTTTCTTTTTTTTATGTATTTGGTATAGTGTCTCACTACACAGCTTGGACTCTAGTGATCCTCCTATTTTCAGCTTCCCCAGCGCAGGGATTGCAGGCATATGCCACCACACTTCGTCTCTGTGGCCCAGCGCAGTGCACCCCGGGGGTGGGGCTGGCACACTATGAGGAAGTGGGGATCGAACCCTGGCCCCTGCGCTTGCCAAAGCAGGTGCTTTTTGCTGAGCTTTCGCGCCAGCCCATGAAATATTTCTTAGGACCAGTAAATCATGTAACAACACAGGAATCTTAAGCTCTGTATCCAGGGCCCAGTACAGAATTTCACAAAGCCTAGTTGTTTCAAATTAAAAGGATTTCCAAAGACTCCTTCCCAGAGGAGAAGGACTCTGGGTGATTCTGCGCCTATCCACTCAAGTTCAAGATGCCATAGAGAACAGACCCATTGACAAGTCGTGCTACTTGTTCCACCCTTGCTGAGACGCACCTATTGTCAGTCCAGCCAAGTCACAGAAATGCTTATTGCAGTTAAATAGCAATTTGTTTCCATGAAACTGCAATTAAAGTATTACTGAGCAGCCATTTTAGATTGGCAGTGCTCTGAGCGCATGTTAAGCAGCCAACAGCTCCTGCTTGCGGAGCCCAAGCTCAAAAAGTCCAAGTATCACACACCCACCCATGCGGGGTACTTCATTGAGAGGCATTCATAGCCCTCTGCTCCCATTGGGAATGTGCCGAGCGAGAGCAGTGGTAAATCGGCTGATTTTTGGAAGGTGAACTTGAATTTACCTCCTCTGTTGAATAGTGTTTACAGTTGCACACAAAGGGCTTTATGCTGGTAGATATGTGCGTGTTTCCTAAAGAGCATGTTTTCAAGTTCAGATTGATTCTGCTGAGAATGGCCTGGAACTCCGAGGCCACAAGCCAATCATGTCCTGCAGGTCCTGACATGTTACAGCTGTGTAAACAGGGCTGGTCTCTCCAAAGACACAACTAATACAAAGCATGGATGAAAATCAATTGATTCTGCTGTAAGTTCTTTAAGTGACCCTGCAAAGTTGTTTAATGACTTTGTTAGGGTGGACAGGCCCAAGCCTAGCCACCAAAGCACTAGTTTGATAGCGCAGAAACAGGGCCTGACAGCCTTGCCCGGATGTTAGCCTGTACCTGCCGCCAGATTCAGACCTGCTGGGAGAGCAGGCGGGATCCGCACCAAATTCCTGTGTGTCTAAAGTTCAGGCTTTGTTGAGTGGGAAAGGTGAAGTGCAAACGTTTTCATTGAAAATGCGCAACATAGATGTAAGTTGCCGAGAAAGGAGAGGAGCTCAGAGGTGGTGTTTTAAAAATAATTAGCACTGCATTCTAACCAGCCTGGGAACAGTTATTAGTTTACAAGAACAGGAGGCATCTCACCTTCCTTTGGCCCAGAAAGATCCCCTTCCCTTGAATTGAAAGGTTTATATCCTGAACTTTTTCAAAAACAATTTTCATATTTATATGCATGCACTTGTCTGGGTTGTTTGAGCTGTAGTTTCGAAAGCATTAAAGGGTTCTTCCCTAAATTAATTTTTCAATCTTATTCAACTGAATGTTTTAGAAACTATAAAGAGAAAAATCTGAGGACAAACTGAATTTGCAAATGAAGATTAATTATGAAACCTGGAAAGAAAATTGATTGCCTGGCGGTACTTGTGTACCTTTATTTAGATAAGGTTTGGTAGAGATGAGTGTGTCAAACTGTGTATTCCTCTAAGGCCTCTGATTTAATTTCGGTCATCAATCATAAGACTTAACACTTGCCATAAACTTTGTGTCTTTAAATATAATGTGTAATATAATGACTTTATCTTTGAGTTACATAAGCTTTGTAAATGTGTTTATACGTTGCTACTTACAATGAACAAATACACACACAATCTCAGCCAGTCCTCATAGTAATCCTTTTAATTATTATTACTTTCGATGAGGTAATTGAAGTTCACAGAGGTGATTTATTAAGTAGGGCCAAGACTAAAGTGGGCACCCATTTAGGGTATAAAATGTGAAGGTATGCCAGAACCTCAATAATGTTTTAACACTGTTTTGTTTTTTTTTTTTAAAGTTAATGCAAAATGTCCAGTGAACAAACTCATAATTTTGAATAGAGGCAGAATC